TCTTAAACTATTTTCATTGTTTTTTATTCTTTTTTCTTTTTTTTGTTCCAACTGGGTGATTTCTGCTATTTTGTCTTCTAAATCACTGATCCGATCTTCTGCTTGATCTAATCTACTGGTGATTCCTTCGAGTGTGTTCTTCATTTCAGTTATTGTATTCTTTAGTTCCACCTGGTTGTTATTTATTTCTGTATCATTCTTTATGTCCTCCTTAAGTTCCTGAAACATTCTTATCATCAGTGTTCTAAACTCTGTCGCTGAAAGGTTGGATATCTCTGTTTCATTTAGTTCCATTTCTTGAGGTCTCTTCTGATCTTTTACTTGGGACATATTTCTTTGTTTCTTCATTCTGGCTGTCATTCTGATTGCTTCAATGTATTAGATCGACGTGGCCTCCTCTTTAAGTCCTTCGTTTAGAAGTTCTGCTCATCTAGTGTCCAGGGAACTTCTGAGGTTGAATATCTTATAAATGTAATTTTGGTATGATCCTGGGAGGCAGTCGGGATAGTGTCTGTCTATTCCGCCATCTTATCAGAAGTCTCTATACTATATTACTTTTTAAACTTTCAAAAATTTAAATCTAAACCACCTCTTGGAGTTAGACATTTCACTAATTTACTACATACTTTATGTAAAATAATATTTTCCACTTGTTTTAAATATACCTCTTTAAAGATTCTGGGATATGCTAAGCAGATCTATAGCCACACTAATCACATGTTTATGGACAAATATCATATCCCCTACTAGCTTTGATATTTTGAGAGTCAGTGTAAGAGAGTTAGAAAGATAAGCATGGTGGGATGAGGTCAACCTGAGTTTGAATCACGGGATCACTTCTAACTAGCTATGTGACCTTTGATAAGTTAGTTAATTATTCTGATCTTTAGAGTCTTCACTGGTAAAAATAAAATGTGTAGCTGTTTTCATGGTAGTCATGACTATGAACGAAATGGTATAGGAGAAAGTACTCTGCCCAGTGCCTGGACATAGTACACCATCAACAAACATCAACTTCCTTCCCTGCTTATTCATCAGAGGACGGGTGAAAATCTTATAGCTGTGCCCGTGTGAATGGACCCCCTTTCCTCCGCAAGCCCACCAGAACTTAATGACAGAGCAACACATTATGCACCATTCATGAGATTGCCTTGTTTCCAAAGCTTCTACTCAAAAACAAATTCCCTATATGTGTGTTAGTTTATTTTCTCTCATATAATGATATCACTTGATAAATGGAAAAGATGTACCCCACAAATAATTATCTATCAAGTGAGTCAAGTGAGTCCTTATTGAATCTTATTTCAAGGGCCATCCTTTCAAATTGATCCCCTTGGCTGAGCTTAAAATCTTCAGTCAGTCTGACTGTGGGCTAATGCATTAACTTGTTGTAAATTTACTCATTCTCTTACCAGGGAAGAGAATCAGAGAAGATCTCATGTTTTCCTTATCTGAAAAATGGGGCTATTAGCACCTACAAGGCAGATGGAGGGACGAAATTAAATAATGTGTGTGAAAGTACTAAATAAACATAAAATGTATGCCAATACCTGATAAATTCTAATGAAAGCATTTGTTTAGAGTTACTTTATTTTCTGATTTAAGGAAATGGCTCTTCTTCCTAAAACAAAGTTAAGAAGGCAGGCTAAAGACATATTAGAAATTTTATGTATTTGTATGCATGCATAAAGATTTTAACATATATATCAGATATAACATAGAAATTTTATAAATCCAGTGTTTTAAAATTTTTTTATAGAAACCAGTTAGTCCATCTGTGTAAATTTGTTTTCCAACTTATTTCCAAGAAGAGCGCCAAAAAAGGTTATCACTGGGGCTGCAATTCAGATCATAGTTCATACACACACAGGCTATGGCAGGACTCAGATAAATCAAGCGTTTGTTCTTTCTGCTTCAGTTTCAGTTCTGCATCCACACACGTTAGCCCGGCTGTTTGAATAATCTTCCTCAAACACTGCTTGACTTCTCCAGTTCGAGACTCTATGGAAGCCAATTTCTTGCTTGTATTTTCTTGGCTTTGAAAGTCATTAAAATGCCCTTAGATGCTACCCAGAGTTCACAGATTCTTTACCTGGAGCCTTGTCCATAGCTTGTCAATTTCACTTCTACCAAGAGGCCTCAGCAATGCTGTTCAGTTCTAGGTCATAAGAGCTAGCTCAGGCGGCCATGTGTCTCATAAGTGAGCCATATGACCAGAAATTCGTATGTGTGTCAGCTACATAAATTTCCATTGAAAACATTAGTAAAATTTAGCCTATTCGCTGTTTGAAAATTAGCGTGATGTTGGAGGCAGAAAGAGGCCAATAAATTGGGTCTGTCAAAACCCATTAATTCCATGGGATTTCAGAGTAGAGCTGAGTGGTATATGGTCATCCAGGCAAAGTGGAATAAACAGCTGCCTTATTCTTCAGGAGGCATGTGGCAACTCTAAAAGAATGTGCTTTACTCTGTGAAAATATCTGGACCCTTAAAATGTCCTCACCAGATGAATACGTTGTGTCATTTCAGATTTGCAGTGTCAAGTCGAGGCACTTGGGCTAAAACTTCAGAACGCAGTGACCGAGCTGGACAACTATAAAAAAAAGCTCATGTAAGATGGTGAACATCAAACAACCTGTAAGAATTTAGAAAGGCCCCTGATGTGTCCTCTGAACTCCTTTGGCAGCGATTCAGTTGTGCGGGTCTGCTCGGCTGCCCTTCTTGGCTACTCTTCTAGCCTAGATTGTACATTGAAGGACCTGTAAATATTTTTAACTACATGAGATGTTTCTTTCCGTCAGTCAGAAACTTACCTATCCATGCATTAAAGCTTTCCCTGGTTGTTCCAATGTAGTAAGTTAATGTGAAATAGTCTCTGAACCACTTATATAGCCCCAGCTGCTGGAGACATTTCTCTATGTTGCCTGTACCAAGCTCTTCCATCTCTATGGCATCTGCCCTGCTTCACTACCAGGATGAGCATTTAGGATCAGAGCCTGGGACTGCTTGGACTGCTTAGAGCTCAGGAGGTCCATTAAAACCAAATGTGTGGCTTGGCCATTGTTTTATGACAAATGAAGTTTGAAGTCAAAATAATTTACTCAATAATTTTGACATACAATTTGTTAATAAATTGGGTATTTACTATATATATCCAAACCTTCTGAACTTCTTAAATGGGAAGGTTTATTTAAATTCTTAATTCTCACTCTTTGTGGGGGTTAGGATTGGAAGTGGGTCTCACCTATCCAACTTAACACCATTCTTTTGTTGTTTAAAGATTTTTAAAGGTTTCTATATAAGTTTTGTGGATTTTTTTACTTAAGGGGAAGAGTCAGTTTTTAAATGGATGAACTTGGGTTTTTTTGTTTTTGTTTTCCTAATGTTTATAAGAAAATGTTTTCCAAGGCTTATTTTTGAAAACAGATTTTATCAGTTAAGATGCTTTGGGCTGCAAGTAACAGAGGTAGAGTGGTTTCCAGTTTAGTCAATCCGTAAGCTCAGTAACATCTCCACGGGTCTTGATGCTCCCTCTGTCTTCATCCTACTGCCCTCAACATTGGCATCACCCCAAGTCTAGGTCTCTTGTTATCATGAGATGGCTGCAGTTCTAGGCACCACATCCAAATGTAACCACCCCAGGAGAAGGAAGGGCCTGTTTTTCTGCTGTCTCCTTAGAAGAGAGAAAAAAAATTTCCCAGAAGCCACCCAACAACCTTTTCCTTACATCCTTTTAGCTAGAACCCTTTACAGACTCTCTCCTAAATGAATCCCTAGCAAGGGGAACGGGACAACCACAGTTACTTTAGACCAAACAGGATTTATCCTAAGAACAGATGATAATGCGGCTCTGATGGCCAGGAAGGGAGCTGTAGTGCATGTTCAGGGGTAACCAGCGGTGTTTGCCAAAGAGGTAGAGTGTTAGTGATGCTCTGAAAAGTTGATAATGAAATTTTCTACAAATTTTATTTGTGTCATAATATCAAGATTAATTTAGAGAAGACCTCCCTGAAGTAATAAAAAATATGGATACTGTGAAATGCAATGTTATTACTTTGAAATATACTTAGAAATATACTTTTATTACTTTCATATATAGTATATATTACTTTCATATATAGTATATATTACTTTCATATATATATATATATATATATATATATAGTACAGTGAGAAACATAGATAAATGAGACTAACAAGAAAGACTGCTATAGATGGTGAGGAATTCTGAGGAATTCTGGAAAGAGAATTCATAGGAAGGTTTATAAAAAGGGTCAGCTCTACGGAGGGATAAACTGAGGAAAACCAGTTGTGCGGTGGATGTGCCGCAGGCAGGACCTCACTTGGAATCAGCTAACTCAAAGAGGAGGCAGGAGGATCTTCATAAGGTGGTTCTGAAGCCCCAGCCTGAGGGAGAACCCCGGCTGCTGACCGACACTGTACATTACAGCATGACTCCCCCACAGACGGTCTCTAGACTCCATCCCCATAGACACTGACTTTACATTTGGGCCTGGGTGGCTCCCTCCGCTCTGTGTTTGTAATGCACTCCCCCGTGATTCTGACGCGGGTGGTCCCATGAGGCCCAGTCTGAGGAATCACTGAAGCCAGTGGCCCCTCACCAAACCCCTTCCAATCAGCAGGCCCTGTGGGAAGCAGCATTTGTGAGGCGTCTGCATCCAGAACAAAGCAAGGAGTGTGGGGACTGGAGCTGGCAGGCCTGGCAGCTACTGAACCCCAAGAGAGGCTGGGGTCCCCATATTCCAAGACACCTCCAGTGCCCCCACCATACCCTGCCTCTTCAGCACAACCTTCAAAAACAACCTAGGGCGAAAAATAAACAGCAAAGCAGACAAGTAAACAAAGAATCTTAAGGCTGAGGGTGAACACTCAAGCAAAGATTACCAGGTGTATGAGAGAGAACCCTCCAAACCCCCACAGCCAATGCCGCTGAACTCACACAGGAAAACTTTTACACCTGAGGAAATTGTTAAATAGCAAACAGAAGATGTTAAGGTAAATTTAAAAAGTTAAGATGTCCTCCAAAGTATTGTAACCATAAAAGAACCAGGATTGTAACCATAAGAAAAGAACAGGCTGTTATGAAAAAGAAGCTATTAGGAATTTGAGAGAATAAAAATAGGATTAGAAAAATGATTCCATTTATATAAAAATGTATATGAATGTACACACACATATATATGGATTTAAATGCATTGAATAAAGGACTAGCAGGATTACAACAGTTCCCTCTGCAAGTGAGAGTGGGGATGCAGAGAGACTTTTATTTAACTCTGTATACTTATATATTTCTTAAATAGCTTACAGTGTGAATGTCTTCACTTTCATGTATATAATAAAAAGAATAAAATTCACTTAAAATGATTTCTAATTGATTAGTTACTAATGAATATGTCTATAGAGTGTTTATACAAAATGTATTTCTAATTCAGGGACCTTTTTTAACCTCCTGACACTTTATTTGCAGCCACCCCCTTCTCATAATTTGAGCAATGATCTGCTTATGACCGTCATAAAGTACTAATTTGTAAAGCTCTGACTTGACCTCTCAGCACTATCTGACACAGTTGACCAGTCTGTTCTTGGAGCCTTCTCTACTATTGCCTTCTGAGATATAATGTTCTCCTGATTTATTTATTTTTTACCTCTCTGGTCATTCAAGAGAAATTTTTGTCTCTCACGTAGGTGGCCTGGTGGCATTCCAATGTCAGAGTACAGGTCCACATTTCATATGATCTGAGACTGAACAGGGTAGGTTTACTTCATTCATTCATTCATTCATTCATTCAATCCGAAATGCTTGCTGAGTGAGGATTATGTGCCATGACCGTTGTGTACAGGCACTAGATATCGGAGTAACAAGATTGACAAGCTCCAGTAAAGCAGTTTAGGTAATTTCAGGTAATGTTAAGTGCTGCAATCATATAAAACAGGCATGACAGAATGTGAGCGGTGGGGAGCGGTGGTATACTTTTGACAGAGTGGCATCCCTGAGCAGATGGCCTTTGAGTTAAGAGCTGAAAAACAGAAAGGAGCTGGCAGTGCGGAGAGATCAAGGACGAGGACCTGTATTCTTTGGAGTTAGTTTTACAAGTTCAGCAAACATGAAGAAGGCCAGTTGTGGTGGACAGACTAATGGCTTCCATGGATTTTCATGTCCTAATCCCTGGAATCTATGAGTATGTTACCTTCCATAGCAAAAGGGACTTTTGCACATGTGATCAAATTAAGGATTTTGAGGTGGGGAGGTTATCCTGAATTATTTGGGCAGGGCCATATAATTGAAAAGGGCCTTCTAAGAGGAAAGCAAGAGGTTCAAAGTCACAAAAAGATGTGAGGATGGACGCAGAGGATGTGATTTGAATATGGAAGAAGGGGCCACAAGTCAAGGCTGCAGGTAGTCTCTGGAGGCTAGAAAGGCAAGGAAACATTGTCCCTTGATGTTGCCAGAAGGAACACAGCCCTGGTGGCATCTTGAGTTTAGGACTGCTGTCCTTAAAACTGTAAGATAAGAAACGTGTGTTGTTTTAAACCACGAGTTTGTGGTGATCTGTTAGAGCAGCAATGTGAAATAAAGACACCAGTATGTCCAGAGCCTACTGAGGAGTTTGGATTTATTCAGAGGGCAGTGGGAAATTACTGGAGGATTTGGGGCAAGAGTGTGAATTAATCTGATTTGTTTCAAACAGTCAGCATGGCTGCTGCATGGAGAATGGACTGGGAGTACAAGAGCAGTCAGGGAGTAGGTGGGAAGCTGTGGGTTCATGAAGTGAGAAGTGACTGGTGTAATGTAAGGCCATAGTGTGGAGGTTGATGGAACTATATGTTGGAGGTGAATCTGACAGGATTTACTGACGGGGTCGATGGGGTTTGGGGTTTTCCACATCTGGGCAGACTGCTGAGAGGCAGTAAGTGTAGTAAGTAGAGCCTAGACTTCAGATGCGGGCTGCTGGCTAGGAGCGGTCACCTTGGGCATGGTGCTTCTCTCGCTGGTCTCAGCTCTGTCAACTCTAACACGGGACTAAGGGCCACTTTGAGGGTTGTGTTAGACAGATAAAATGTTACCTGTTACTATTATTATTGTGTGGGTACCATTTATTGAAGTGGGAAATGTGTAAAGGAAGTAGATACAGGGGTGAGGGAAATAAGAAACAGTGCTTTAGATCTGTTAGATTGAAGATGCCTTTTGGACAGCAGAGTGGAAATACCGAGGAGGCGGCTTGAGAGTAGCTGTTTCATCTAAAGGAGGGGAATGGTATTGACCCTTGCCTTTCAGATTAGGGGAAAATATCCAATTATTTCATCTGATTTCCTTTGCTTTGATTGACAGAAGCAGCAGGGGCCCTTTCTGAAGGCTTTTTCAAAGCAGTTGAAGAGAAAGGATTAACACTATTTGCTGAGAGTAAAAGAAGGAATGTGGTGTTTAGAGAGATGTAGGCATTCTTTCTATTCCTTCCAGTTGCTTCCACCCTAATGAAGGTGAAGATGACAATTGGATAGTGAAGGGTAGACCATAGAAAGAGTGCTTAACTGGCGTGGGAGGTGGGAGCTTACCGCTGGTGAGGGGAATTCTTGGGATGGTAGGCTCCCTGGGGAGCAGACTTAAAAACAGGCAGCCAAGGTTAATTGTCCACATAGTTAGTAAATAACCACTAGAAGGATTTCTACTGCCCCTGCCTCTAGATTTGGAAAAGTATGTACAAGAGTCTGAACACAGGATGAAAGTTGTGGTGGGGCTGCTGAATATCAAAGCATTTTTTAAAGCAACATTTTTATACATTTTAAAAACAAATGTATAAAACTTGGAAAATACAGGAATATATAAAAAAAGACTACGGTTATATTTTGATATATTCTTATAGTCCATTTTTCTATGTAATGTATATTTTTAAACATAATTTCACTTGGTGATATATCCTGGACATTTGGCCATGTCATTACTTGATACATTTATTGATTATTATGAAACGGTTATGTAGTACTCCAATCTATGAATGAACCATAATTTATTTACTAATCCCATGTTTTTTAGAATTTTCAAATCTTTCACTTTTATAAGTAAGGTACTTTGAGATGAATATAGATAAATCTTTCCACTCACACAATTATTTTCTTAAGATAATTTTTGCTAGAATCAAACTTGCATATTGTTAAGGCTTTTAATGCATAATTACTCCTTGCCTTCCAATAAGATTATACTTATTTTCAATCTCAGCAGTGTTTATAAATCCCCATCTCTTCACTTCATAGCCAACACTGGGTATTATAACTTAAAAAAAAAAAGTTACTAGTTTAATTGATGAAATATTTCTATCCCTGCACAGTTTGCTCTTTGTAGCCCGTCCTCTGCGACCGGCCTGAGCGGAGCCTGTACCCACGTTCCTAATGGCATGTCAACCTTTTCCTGATTCCTTGTTTTCTAATATTCTACTTGGCAATAATTTCCAAGTAAAATAATTTCCAAATATTCTGCTTCTCATTAAAATTTATACCCAGCTATAGCAACCATTAATGACTTTTGCTGTATCCAGTCTTCACCTTAGTGGCTGCTAAGTGATGATTTGCTAACTCCACCCTCCTGCTCCACTTTTGAGTCATGCCTCAGCATTTTAATGTAAGCAAAGCCTCCCTTCTTCCCATTAAAAAAAAAAAAATATATATATATATATATATATATAATTGGTATGGAGTCATGAATTCCTATTTTTTCAATGACTTATAATTCATTACTGTATTTAATTATTTTGGTACACAGATTGTCCTAGGCTTAGTTAGTGGGAGTCCCTTCAAGCTGGCTCATGTGACACTGGAACATGATCCCATCATCTTTTTTAGCACTCCCTTACTTTCTGGCATAACAAGATGCTTCAGGTATACCTGCACTGCTCCACCCTTGGAATCAGCCGTTTCTCTGAGTAGTCCTGCTTGCCTTGAATGAGGAACAGCATTAGAGTCCAAGATCTAAGCTCTCAGTATTCTCATGTGCTTCTTGATTCTGGTAATGGCTTCTACATACATCAAACCTATCAAATTGTATGTAGTTTATTATATGTTAATATAATACCTTAATAAAGCCACTTTACAAAAATGAGATAATAAAGGAAACAATGTTCTATAAAGACATTTACTTTACAAAAACAAAAAGGAAAACGAAAATATAATGGATAAAACTTGGGTAATAAAACTCCAAAGAAAACCAAAGTGATTACCATAGAATTCATGGAAATTTTTTTTTTAGGGTGAAGGGCCTTGGCTGTGTTGGGAACAGGGACATGAAGCTTCTAGGGTACCTGGTAAAGTTTTATTTTTTGACCTGGATGGTAGTTACAAGAGTGTTCTCCTTATATTAATTCATCATATGTATTTTTTATGCAATTTTCTATATCTTACAATTTTGTCACATTTTACAATAGAAGGGTTTAAAAATAAATGAATGTAATTCATGTTCATGATGCTTTCTAAATTATTATTTATTAGAAACTACAGTCATTATGCAAGTAGGGCAAACCCATTGATAATCTATCTAACACATTTCATTGTACGGGGTATAAACTATTTTAAGATACATAAGGTACATTTGGATAATGACTTAATGAACAGTCTATATAAACTTAAATTGGAATATTAATCTTTCTTAATATGTTAACTTTTTGAGTATTGTTATAAAACCCAATCATATAAGATCAAGACAAATGCTTATTTCAGTTTTAAAAATTTCCATTTGGTTCTTTTTAATAGTTCCTATTTCTCTGCTGAGATTTTTTATCTTTTCATTAATTAGAGTATATTTTCCTTTATGTCTTTGAGCAGAATTATAATTGCTCCTTTAACAATCCTCTTCTGCTAATTTTAATATTCAGGTCTTCTCAGAGTCATTCCCTATTAACTATCTTTTCTCTTGAAGGGTCATGCTTTTCTGTTTCTGCTTATGTTGAGTAATTTTTATTCAGGACATTGTGAATATTACGTTATGAAGATTCTGGGTTCTATTCTATTTCTCCAAATAATGGTGGGTGGTATTGCTTTACGCAGGCAATTCATTTGGTTGGCTTCAAACTGCAGACTGTCTCTAGGGCAGCAGCTCCAGCCTCAGTTCAGTTATGGGACTTCCTCCGTCCTATTCAGGGTTAGCCCTTTACAGCCACTGTGCTTGCCCCAAACATGATCCTTAGCTCTTCTAGCCAGATCGACTCTGCGTTTGCTACCAGTTTGCTATCAGAATTTGAGTTCCCCTACATGGTGCAGACTGTGCCTGCCCTCAGGCTTAAAATCATGAAGCAAACAAACAAACCAAAAAACCAAAAACAACAACAACAACAAAAAAACCCTGATACCATGCTGTCACCTCACTCCAAGTGTTAATTCCTTCCAGAATGTGTTTGCTTTTGGTCATTTTCCATTACCTTCACTAGGGGGTTTTATTTCCTTTTTAAAAAATGTTATCCAAAGTTTACACTTTTTATTTAAATGCAGATCAGTCACATAGGAGCTTACTTGGACCATTATAAAAGTAGACTAATATTTCTTTAAAGAAATAATATGAATATGTTAAGAATTTTTTTCTAAATAAAATAGTGATATAGAAAAACACATATTGTCAGACTAACAGATTAGATTTTTTTTGGCAAAAAAAACCAAAACACCCTTTGGCAATCTATTTCTAATTTCAAGGAAATCTGCATATATAACCACAAATAGACTACGTGTATAAAGATAAGAAAAGTAATAAAAGAAAATCATGTTTTAAAAAAGGAAAACAGTTATAGTTTAACATTTTGAAATAAATATTTGAATATTTTTGTATTATTTTAGGAATAAATCTAATGAAGCTGCTGACTGTCAAAGAGAACTTAGAAAACTGAAATTTGAATCCATTATTTTTGAGTCACGGTATGCATTGCAAATATTTTAATTAATATCTTTTAGTAATGTAATGTGAAATCATATTTTAAATAACGTTTTATTTAAAATGTACTCAGCCTTTCTCATTGTATTGTTTACATATATTGTACAATACTGAATTCGAGTTTATAATGTCTTGAAGCTGTTCATTGATCTTTGCCTCTGCCTAGATGGGAAAACTTTCGTATCACAGAACTATCTATTTTCTTAACATTTTCAATTTTTGTAAGTTAAAGTTATAGTCTATAATTTCAAATCGGATTTTCTTATATCTTTGATAAACATAAAAATATAATATCTAATGCATATTGATGGATTTTTTTTTCTATTCCTTTTTAGGCACACCAGATTGCTTAAAGAAAAAGAAGACTCTTTAATGGCTTGTCAACAAATATATAAAACTTTACAGGAAGAACTGACTGCAAAAAAAAGGCAAGAAGAAGACATAATAAAAAGAATTAACCTTGCAGAAAATGAACTAGAAACAACCAAAGCTCTTCTGAATCAGACACAAGAAGAGGCTGAAACACTAAAAAGTGAAAGGTGCAGTCAAGAATAATTTCTTCCAAAAATATTTTATGTTTATATCAGTATTGCATATATATTTGAAACATCAAGGTCCTACATAGTTTACGAATAATGAAACAGGATCAAAGATATATTTTATACAAGGTCATTCTATCCTATCACCTCATTTTACAGGAATCAAACGAAAGCTTAAGTTGGTTAAACTACTTGCTTAAAGTCACACAGTTAGTAAATGAAAGTAGAGATGGAACCCACATTGCATTTGGTGTTAGATTTTTTTTTATTGAAAAGACTCAGAAAGACCATGTGTAGTACTAATACTACTGAATTTCACCTGGCCAATAATTGGTGGAGTCTGTCATTTTCCAACAGAAAAAAGTTTTTATATCACTTTTCCCTTTTACTGGCTTTTACCTTTCTTCTCTTTGGCATTTGTCAGCACATCTTATTGACAGGTCTCTATAAGCAAAGATACCTCTGGTATTGAGGGTAGTGTCATGGATACTAAGAATCATATTTGTCCAACCTTCCTAGATGTTTTTGCTGTTAATTGGTTATTAAATTAACCTTATTAGATACTTAGTACCTCAACCCTGCTTTCTTTCTTTTTGTTCTCATTTGCCTGGCATGTCTTTGCTCATTCTCTCTGAGTCTTTTCGTTTTAATGCATATTTGATACATAGCACATATTTTGGGTTTTTGTTTTTATTGGTTTTTATCAAATCTGAGCATCTTTAATAGGAGATATTATCCCTTTTACACTTATGGATATAACTATTACATCCCAGAAGAACACAACTTCAATAAGGGCAAGAATTTTTAGCTTATCTCATTCTCTGTGCTCAGAAAGCACTATAGGCTATTTGTTTTTCATTCTTTGTATCATTTTATCTTTTAGTTTATTTTTTACTTTATTCATTTCATTTTATGAGTATTTGGCTGCTTTCTAATTTAGAAGATTTATAATCTTCCATACCAATAACCTGCTTTTTGCAAAAGTGATGTACCTTGTAGTTATATGACTCTTCATTCCATCCCGCCACCGCAATTATGTATTATAGTTGCTCAGCCCGTAGCATATCAGAAGCAGCAATTTTATATGCAGGCAATTTGCAAGAGCCAGGTTTACTAATAACAAGGAGGACTGGCAGCTGAAACATTGACCATGCATAAGAAGAGAGAGCAACTATAAATGCAAACGAAACATTTAAAAGCACTGCAGTTTGGCCCAGTATACAATAGAGACAAACATACCTACACACATCAGTAACCTTGAGCGTCCCTATAGTTATCACATAGATTAATAGTTGGTGGCCATAATGATGGCCCTGGGTCTGAAACATTAAAATAAGTCATATACTCTATATGAAAGGTACAGAATCATACATCTTAGGACACTATGAAATAAATTAAAAATTTAAGTCTTCTGTGTAGAACTTTGGGTATCAGAGCAATATTCTTATATTTCTGTATTGTCTAGAATACTCCATTTCAACGATGCCAGATTAATTAGATTTAAATATGTATCCAGATGAATGCTATCTCCTTCATAGTAGTCATTGAGAAGGTTCTATCATTGTTCAAATGTTTCTAGAACTTTTTTCTGAGGATTGGCTTAAGTGCACATATTTTGGAATATCCTCAATATGATGAATCTTTGCCCTTTAGGGATGAATTTAGTTTAGTCCTGTGAATATGATGGGAATCAATCTTGCAAATACCATTTGGGATAAAAAAAATAAAATGTTTTCTTTTTTAATGTGCTTAATAAATTATCTCCGACTGCAATTTGAAGAAGGCAGCTTTATGAGTGTTTTGAGAATTAATAACATCATTAGAATAAATATAGGGCTTCCTTGGGGGATAGCTGTGAAATAGCACACTGAATGTATATGTTTTGCATGTTTTTAAAAAAAGTTTAGTGTGATTCTAATCTTACTTTCTGTTATAAGTGTTGAACGAGAAGGATAACTTCAAGTGTTCAGAGAATAGAGACATCACTGAACTACCTTCTCCTCCTATTCTCCCTCCCTCCCCCCAATCTTTTTCTCTCTTATTCTTGTTCTTTTCCCTACTTTGCTCTCTGTCTTTATCCAAAAGCAGGCATGGTATTACTTAGTCATTTGGTATAGCTAAGCTTATTGACATGATATTTATCACATAAAAAATAATCAAATATACTTATGGACCAGTAAGTTATCATATTATCAGAGGATTACTCCTAGACATAGCAGTGTCCTTTTTTTGTCCTAGGCCACCTTCAGATTTTGTCTGCCTTCTCCTCTACTGTATCCTCAGAGTGTGGGATATGTATCCACTCAGTGTATATTTGTTGACTGACTGAATCACTTGCTTTGGGTAATTCAGTCAGTCGACAATTATTTGTTGAGTATTTACTGTATGCCAGGTACTATGTACCCTGAGGATACAACGATGAATAAGAAACATCCCTGTTCTCATGAAGTTTACAATCTAATGGGAGAGACAAAAACAGTAAAAAAAAACAAAAAACAAGAAGAAGAAGAAGAAAGAAAGAAAGAAAAGAAAAACAAAGGAGTAGAAAACTAACTAGAATATTTTAGATTGTGATGATACTGGACATAAAGTAAGTAAAGGAGTATTACGAGTATAGTAGAGACTGATAGTAAGGTGCCTGTTTTAGAAAGAGTGGTCATAAAAGTTGAGTTCCAAAATGATTCATAAAAGGAAGACAAGTAGAAGTTACCAAGCCAAGAGCCAGGGAAGAGCTTCCCAAGGTGAGTTCCTGGAAATGACAGCCAAGCAAACGAGTGAGGCAGGCGAGGGCCAAACCCTGCAGGTTTGCAGGCCATCAGGGGTTTGGGTATTATGTGAAATGCAATGAAAGGAAACCATTGAGGGGATTTAAGCAAAGCAGTGACCTGTGGAAAGATCATTTCAGTGCTGGGTGGATAAGGTGTGGCTATAGGCAGTGGGGGCAAGTCAGGTCATTTACTGTTTTGATTTTAATCAAAAGATTTTATGTATAGTTAAGCCTAAGGGAAATGAGAAAAATGAAAATCTTCCGCTCCCAGCCCTGACAGCTTCTGTTCAGTTATTCAAGTGTCTGTACCAGGTGGATGGCAGCAAAATAGCCAGGGCGTACCCTGTGTTGAGCCAAAGAGGATATAATGAAAGCCAAGTTAAAAGACGTGCTAAAGAATAATGACCTTTTGGGATCTTCTGACATTACCGCTTCAAAGCTTTGTCTCCCTTTGGCTGTAGGGACAATGAGTTATCCTGCCCCTTTCCTGTCTCTGTTTTGGTTCTTTGCCTTTCCCTCCTGCAGTCACCTGACAGCAGACGTTCCAAAAGATTCAGGCATGAACTTAGCTTTCTCCTCTCACGTTCTTTTACTTCCGTAAGCTGTTTCTCAGCTGAGCAAGTTTGCTCTTGACACTTGGATTTGAAGCACCAGTGAGAGGTGCCCCTGAGCAGTTGGAGATGTGAAAGTCCTTCTAAAGAATAAGCTGAGCTCAGGAAAAACCTGTAAAATAGAGATGCTTGGCGACACCTGCAGAGATGCTTGTTCAGTGGGGCTGATCAGTGCCTAGGAATTTACTGCACAGCAAGGTCCCAAACCACCACCATGGAAAGCCTGCAAGAGCCACCAAAGGCCGAAGCCCAGCTCCCCCACAGTGGCTGGGTGCGCCTCCCTAAGCTCCAGCGGCATCATATGCGCTCTGCCCCTCCTCCTTCACCCCTCCCAACGGCAGAGCCCATGTTGAAGTTCCACTGGACCATATGGAAAACGGGCAACTTAGAAGCTATATGGTTTCAGAACAGGAGAAAAAGAAGATGTAAAAAGCCAGAACTGACCCTAGAAAAAACAACTGACAGAACTTCTGAATTTGGAGCAGGAAAGGAGTTAGTGGCTAGGATAATTCGTATATTAGTACAAATCTATCAGTTATGCATTGCGTTCTCCCCCATATTCAGTCAAGGAATCTCTATTAGGAGAAGAGGCTGCACTGGAAGGAAAAGTAGGTGCCCCGAGATCACAGACGCTGGCCAGCTTGGTCACAGACACACTGAGGCTGGAGAGACGGGTCTCCTTTGTGGACAGGGGAGAACGTAGCAAGGCACAGGGGAAAGCGCGGCTGTTTTTAAAATTCTGTGTCAAGAGTCATCAGCTCTCAGGCTTCTGGGCTACAGGGTCTTTTTGGCCAGAGTCAGAGCTCTGTCCAGAACCATGAATTCATAACACCACTTTGTGGATTAAATAGAGTTCTGTGGGCTGGCGTGCGGGCCTATTTCCATTTTTATGGAAAATTATTCTATGGTAAAATGTGCTCATAATTCCCTACAACCAACTTACAAATACATTTTATAAAGACATATGTGTTTGAGTTTGAAGGCTGCCCACGTATAACTCGTAGAGGAATTCATTTATGCACTAACACAGGGCCTACAATCATACTGCCGAAACATGTAGCTGTTTATAACAGCTCTCATACCCTGTGCATTCCCAAAAGCTTTATCCCCATCTTGGTAAATTCCAAGGAAAAATATAGATAAGCACTTCCTGCGATTTACTTGCCAATAACACGATGTGATTAGTGAAGAGCATATTTGGAAGGAAAGCTTATTTGTAACCAAAGCTAGGTGCAAGTTGCTTAGGTGTAAATTATTCTTGCTGTTGCTCAGAGCTTGCACTCTTAAGCGAGCTCTCAACCAACTGAGCCACTCAGCTGGCCCAGTAATATCATTCTAAAATCACAAACCTCATCAGGAATTTTTTTTTTGAAGACTCACTTCTCTGATTTCCTAACCATCAACAGCTCTCGAAACAAGAGACTTGACTTCTGATGATATCACAGACTTAACTGCTTCTGATGGAGGCAGGAGTTGTGCAAAATCCAAATTATCTCTTTGATTGATAATGTGAAAACATCTCTTTTAGAACAACTTGTGAAACCGAAGTTGAAGCTGTCATTTGGCATTACGGTTTGACGTTTGTTTGTAGCCACATTTTCAACTGTGGTTAAGGGAATCTC